GTGGGGGGGGAAGGGGGCGGAGGCGCGGAGGGCCGACACATGTGGCGCGAGGGGGGCCACGTGCCGCGCTGAGCCCCACGCCGAGCACATCACCTAGGGAGATGAGAGGAGGTGGAGTTGGCCCATATGGCCCGTATGTATGTATGTATGTATGTATGCACCGCGTTCCGCCGCTACAGCTGATCGGACCAAGTCCTGGTTCCCTCCGGTCCCTCCTGCGCCCGACATCCATCCTCTTTCTTTCGGCCCAACCCAACCAACTCCCCCACAAAACACACACGGGGGGCCCCCCCCACACACACACGCACCTCATTTCCGCCCTCCTCCCCTTTCTCCTGCGCCTACCCCTCTCTCTCCCTCCCTCCCACTACCGCCCACCCCCACCAGGTTCTGTTCAGCCCCGCCCCGCTGATGAAGCTATCCCCGTGTGACGTGGCGGACCAAGCCACCTTCCCGCACTACGAGTGCCCGCTGTACCGCACCCCAGAGCGCCGCGGAGTGCTGGCCACCACCGGCCACTCCACCAACTTCGTCATGGAGCTCATGATTCCCTCCGACCAGCCGCAGGTAGGGTAGGGGGGGGGAGCCCAAAGAACACACAACAGCTCTATACACATTCCTACTTGTGACACATACCTCGACGAACCGGACCCCTAACCCCGCGAACCCTCCCTCCCTCATCGCTTGACATTTCCCTCTCCATACACACACACACACACACCCGCCCCCGTATGCCCCCCCCCTTGTCACAGGACCACTGGATTCGGAGAGGAGTGGCGTTCCTGTTGTCACTGGCGGACTAGGCTAGGGTACTGGTGCTGGTGCTGTTAGAGGTTGGGGACACAGCGGCGATAGCTGTGTTGTGGCTGCAGCAGTGAGGGGGGTGGGGGTGGGGGCCATGTCGGTGCGGGGAAGGGGGGAGGGGGGAGAGGGGTTGTCAATGGCGTGGAACCCATATGGAACTCATACTGGGGTTGTGCTGCGGGATTCCCCTCGCCTCACCCAGCCCTCAACCCCTTACCATCATCCCCCTGCGTGTGTTGTGTTGTTTTGACGACCTTCGGAGCCGCGAAATGAGGGAAATGGCGATAATGGTGGTGCACGAATAACTAAGTTGACGCGCCGTTGATCCGCTAGATTTGGTTGGATGCTGGTGGTGAGTTGCCAAACTCAAAGAGTACACTCTGAAGTGGGATGGGGTGAATGGCTTAGGGTGCCCCTCTAGCAGGGGAGAGCAGGGAATTGCCTCGGGAAGGAGGCCACTGGTGAAGCTTAACCACCCTGTAACAACATCAACTCTTGCACGGTGGTGCTTGTTTTACCAAAGCGAGCTCGGTAGCGTGCACTCGTGGTCACCAGCGACGTGCGTGTTAGGATGCCGTACTGCTGGGGGAATTTTGGGAGGCAACATGGTTGGCGGTCGGGACGGGAGAGGGAAGCGCCGGCTGGTTGGGGTATGCGGACTGGCTGGTGTTGATGATGATGGGTTGGGCGGGGACTGAGCTGTTGGTTTCCGTGTGAGTGTGTGTGCGTGAGTTCTCTCGTGTATGCATGTATGTATGTATGTAATCAAAAAGCGGTCTGCGCAGGTGTCAGGTACATATTGCGTGTGTTGGGGGGAGACGACCCCCTCACTTCCGAACCCTCTCCGCTGCCCAGGTGTCCTGCCGTTGCTGCTGACGGCAATGGCAGTAGCCAATGGCCGCGTGGGTGCGTGGGTGCGTGCGAGAGTGGCTGGGTAGGTAGCCGCGTGTGGCCACACAGGGCACTGCTTGAGCTCTCCTTACGCGGCCTCGGGGTTGCCGGCGGGCTGCTGCACCTCTGATGGTGAGGTGTGCGGGTGACTTATGGGTTAGACACAGGTGGCCTCTCCGCGTACGTCCTCCTGGCTGGGTGCGGATATAACCTTTTGCCGAAAGGGCTATGAACGAAAGCAACTACCAACTAACAACTACCACAGTGATAGTGGGAGGTAGTGGGTTGGCCTTTACTAACTGTTCGTCATAATGTTACTGCTAATGTGCAGCAGCGGCACCGGCACCAATGTGGGGACCAAGATATGCCATGTGTACGGTTACGGGTGATGTTGCCGCACGCGGAGGGGGACCTGTGTGTTTTCATGTGCATGTTACCTACCCATATGTCCGCCCGTCTGTTTGTCCATCTGTTCGTCTTTCAGTCCGTCTGTCGGCCTGTCAGTTTGTCCGCCTGCCTGTGTATCCTGTGTATTGCCGGCATCCTGTCTGCCACTGCGGACGGGCGGAGGGAAAGGATGGATAAAACCACAACTGCCGCAGCAGTTGGTTTTTGGCGCTCCCACCCCCCCAGGGCCTCTAGGGGATCGCAGGAAGTAATGCTGCCACCGTAAAACGTGCAGGCAGTGAAAATGAACTTAACCGCTCCTAAACACTCGGAAAGTAGTAATTTTGTTATCCGACACAGGGCACTGAGGTCAAACATGGCAAGTTTCCCTGCCGCTAGTACTGGGTTGGGTTGGGTCAGGCTGAGAACTGCATGCCAGGGCCATAATGTAGCCCGAGATACTGTGCCGTCTCGTTACCAGTCAATACCCTCAAACGTGCCTCACACAACCGTTACTCAGCTCCCATAAGGTGCTTTTGCTCCCGTGCTGTGCCCCCAAAAATGAGGACTTCACACTTGGCGGCGTTCACAAAAGGATGCGTCCCCTTTCTTAAGAACAGGGTAAAGGGTGCTAGTCGTGGGTGCTCACCCCCGTAAACATGGGTGTGCAATGCTATCAAGCATGTTGCCAAGGTGAACATGGGCTGCTGCCTTTCACTCTCCCTGATTGTGTACTTAGAATACTTAGCCGGGATCCCCTCCAAGCCCGTATGTGAAGAAGCCCACGCCCGCCTGCAACAGTACTGGATGAACGTCAGCCTGCAAGCGGTAATCAACCTAGCCATAGGCATTTTCGCTGGGCACCACGCCGCAAACCTTCTCGACCACCCCTCACACTCATGTAGCAGATGCCTATGGCTAGGTTGATTACCGCTTGCAGGTTGACGTTCATCCAGTACTGTTGCAGGCGGGTGTGGGCTTCTTCACTAGGCCCGCTTGTAGACCCTTCACGAAGTAGAAAACGTGGTCAGATTTGTGGCTGTTAGGCAGGTCGCCCATTAGTCGACAGGATGTGCCCAAATATGTATTCAGGGAGGTGGGCCCCGAACCTTTGTAAATGGTTTCCATGCTTAGCTGTGCCTGAAAACTTCTGTCCAACCTGGGCGCAAGGGGTGCCAATGCTCGGGGAGGACAGCGTTTAAGCAGGTAAAGGGTGCCTGCTGGTGGTGCAAGAGTAAAATGTCGAGTGCCGGGCCGTCAATTGAGGAGAGGGCGGGCATCGCGGCAAACTCGCTGTCTTCATTTTACTCCACACATTGCGAAATGCAGCCGAGTCGATTGGCCCACGCGGCGAGGTCGGCGTCCTTGGCATTGGGACTGAAACGGGGAGCCTGGCTGTGCTGGCCGGCCTGCGCTGGGTGGATGGCAGGCGGTGGTCGGTACCCCGTGTTGTGCAACGCTCGAATGGCAGCAATGGGACGGGGGCAGGGGAGTCCAGGGACGGATGCGTGAACAGCTGACTCCGAGCAGTATGGAAGCCCTGCGGTTGGGGCTGCGTCGTAGGGAGGTTAAGGAGGAGGGTATCACCCAGGGTTCGTCATCTGTCATCTGGGGGTGGGGTCCTGGCCGGCATCTGCCTTCCGCGCTCATTTAAGTATGAGGAAACAATATCTAACTAAGTTCACATGGTATCTAGATATCGCGGGGACCCCCCCTTGTCTCATCTAGCTGAGCCCCGAGCCTCATCTTGACCGCCTGACAACCCCCGTCAGCCTCATCTAGCTGTCCCGACGCCTCATCTAGCTGCCAGGAGAGGGGCCCCGCGCGCGCATCTGGCTGAAAAGAAACATGTATTTAAATACCGTTTCATGTCTTCCTATATTCATTTGGTTGTAAGTTGACTGGCATCCAGATACATTTTGTGAAAGCCTGCTGGACGCATGGACATGACGATCAACTGATGGTGACAGCTGACGGGAGCGCTTCTCAGGTTTAAAAATGTTAATATTTATGTTCGCCCACCGACAGGTACACCGGCCGTACCGTGGGCCACCTGGTGTTGACCGCAGGTCACCCATACTCATACATCCACAATCATCACTTCCACTCACATCCATGTACACGCACTTCACATCACCGTGCATGTCAGCGCGCGCTTTGTATCGAAGTAGCCGAGCTGTGAACAGTTTATGTACGCATGCGACTGCATCGATGTTTGTCATCCCGTCCTCGTCTGCACGCGCCAACAACATCGCCTACAGGTGGGAATCGGCCACAGCAATCCGTCTATAGTGCAGCAATCCGTCTCCAATGCAGCAATCCGCCTCTAGTCCACCGCACCACGCAGTCTCTAGTGGTCGCGCACTTCCTGTAAGGCACATGCAGAAAATCGAGAGGGATTACTACGCTAGAAGAACCGTGCAGAGACTTCTAATGCACGGTTCTGAAGGTCGACTCTTCCATCAGTAGCCCGTTGCAGCTAGGACGAGGAGGGACGACTGGACGGAACTATGTGATCTGTTACACTGTCGACATTCGAAAAGGGAGTCCAAACCATGCTGTTGGGCCATGTACCCCGGCCGTGCACCATTGGTGCACAGCCGCGTTGCTTGTCCTCTGCGCAACAAAGAGCCACAACCTGACGAGGGTCTGTTCTAACAAATGGCAAATGTACAATTAGCGTGACAGAGGGGAATGCGCAAGCACATATTTTTAAATAGACGCGCACGCGATGTAGTGGCCATGGCGTACCAAATCGTACGAGAAGGCATGCGATGACAATCAGGGTCTCAATCTGTTACACTAGCTAATGCGGGACTCACTTTTCAGCTTGTCATTCGCGAAAGGACGATAGGCTTTCGTTCGTGGGCGTAAGCAGCAATCAGAAAAGGGGGAAATAGCACTGAGATGACAGGATTGCTTGCTGTAGATTGATCTCAATTGAAGCATCGAAGTCATCGAGTCTCTTTGCGCAATATCACAGATGACGACGCCGGACATCACCATGGGCGACGGCGGTCAAGCGGAACTTGACGACATAGTACGTAGGCTTGTGTGAAGAATATCTGGGTCGATGCTATATCATGTACGCGGCCACTCGTGTGCCGACAGGGTCGGTAGCCTATGTTACCGCGGGAGTGCACCACTGGTGCACGATCAGAAATCCTCGCGGTGACGAAACTGTTGTTGTTTAGCCCAAGATACCGACACAATTTGTCAAAAACCTGTAACATACAGTTACCTAGACATTTGTCTGTAAGCGATGCACGCATCGTGGAAACGTTTTTTGTGGTAGTCAGTGGCTAAGTACGACACGTTGCATCGAACTGACAACCTGCCGAACCGATGTGAAGCCTGGGCCAGCGGTCCACCTTGTAACCTCTCAAAAAAAGATGGGGCGCTTCCTGGCGCTTAGGGGCGTTTCCGCCGGGGCCACCAGCGGCGGCGTGGCGTTCGTTTGGGCGGGTCGGCCCATGCATGGCGATTGGTATTATACTGATACCATCGTGTACACCGAAGCACGGGCAAGTATGAGACTCTGTAAGCGTTTTTTGCGAGAAGCCCCGCGCGCATCTCAGTACATAAGGAAGCGTAACTAGATAAATGTAGAGCACCCAAATTGCATATTGGGGTATGCCATACATTCATCCAGGTGAAATTTCGGACCCCGCGAACCCTCATCTGGCAGCCACCGAGCCTCATCTAGCTGTCCCGAAGGCGGCCGGGCGCCTCATCTAGCTGCCGTCTTTTCTCATCCAGCTGGCCAGAGACCCCCCCTTCAACTTCACTTAGATACTGAGGGACTGACACTTAGATATAAAAGGACCCCCTTGTCGCGATATTTAAATGCCGTTGCGCTGGTAGCTTGCGCCAGGACCCCAGCCTCATCTTCCCGCTGTTCATACCCTCCTGTTAAGGGCTCCATAAACGGTGGGGTTGGTGTTAAGACCAACAAAGCGCCGGACCCCAGCCGGGTCCTATTACTGTGGCTACCATTCACTGGTATATGAGTGTCGATCATTTCCAACAGTTGGAATCCGTGGTAGTAGACGACGACGACGATGACGATGTCGGCAATGACGACGTTGACGATGTCGAACAAGGCGATGTGGATCACCGACGCTCTGATACCATTTCGTTGCGTAGTCGTTTGGCTGTCCTTTTTGAATCTATAACCTTCCCCTTCTTTCCGCTTATTTGTCTTTTTTCTTTGCGCTATGATAGGATAATCCTGACTCGCCTGGGTCTTACGAGCTCAAGTATGCAAATTTCATGCATGCATGCATGCAACACAATTCAACAGCCACCACGTATTAGATGCCGCAACACAGCTGGGGGGTCCTGGCTCGAGGTGAGGCCCACCTGGAGTTAGTTGGTACCGCTTTCATGTACTTCCTCAAACAAGCTGTTTCTCTAGTACTGTGATGTTCTATGGTTATATTGACGCAAACTGAGCTGAAGTTGCAAGGCGCGACCGCAGTTGCCGGTGCCATGCAAGCGCAACCGCCCCGGGACACAGCCTCAGGCCTAGAAATCAACTCATAGGGTTACATAAAAGCTAGCTGTCAATGGAAATGAACAAAGCCATGGAATCTGTCCTGGACCCGGGCCAACTGCTGGCATCGCGAAGACCCCGCGTCGCGCGCCGCAATGCCAGCAAAGTTTGCTCATGGAGTGACGTGCCCATCGCCAAAAAACAGCATGTAACCCTATGAGTTGATTTTTAGGCCTGAGGCTGTGTCCCGGGGCGGTTGCGCTCGTCAAGCTCGTTACGAACGCCGGTCAAGCTCGTTAAAGTACGGATGACGAAAAAGTCCAGTTTGACCATGATTACCAAAATTATCTTGTCGCACAAAAGAAATACTTGGCGGTAAACACGAGCTAACAGGGTGTTTCCACTTGGCCGCACACTAACATTAAGTTCAAAAAATCTCACACCTGGCTCAGCGAATCATCTAAGCGATAAGAAACTAGTTAAATACATTAATAGAAAGTAAACATGAGCTCCTTTGCAAGAGGGCCGGAACCGCCGTTTTTCCAGCCGTTCCCTTAGTCCCCAAGTCTGTAAACTAAACAGTGCAAAAGGACATTCCTACTCCAATTTTCGTATGACCAAGAAGATGAGGCTTTCATACAAGTTGCTGACCATCCTGGCAATTGGAGCAATTTGCCTTAACAGACCTACTGCAATCTGTGGCAGCAGCAGCGTTCCGTGCTTAAGGAACTGGATCATGCACCAGCGACAAGCGGCGCGCCGTCTAGGTGCCGGCACGGAGCTTGAGCAGCAGCCCAATGTTTCTCCCACTTATACAGCTGCGACAGCAAGCAGTGGTGCGGAGATGGTAGCCGCGCTGGCTAATCCGATGGTTGACCTTATCCGCCTCACACGCCCCGTGGTCAACGTGACACCTGAAGATTGGCAGACGAGCAGTGTAGGACTTCCCATCGTGCTGACACGCAATGTTACCATCGGGGGCGAGCTGAACGACTGGCCACAGCTCAATCTAATCTATGTTCGGGGTGTGGTGAGTGGGTTCGCTTAGGAGACTAATCTGTGCGTGCTACCTGAGAGGTGCGGCTGCTGCACAGCCCCACGCCGCTTGCCGCGCCAGCTTTCCACACCCAGCCCTGCCCTGCCCTGCCCCGCCCACATCTCCTAAGAACCACGCGCATTTGCAACAGCCAAGGTGGGAGATGCACTGTACGCTTCGGCACACCAGGCTACACTACGCAAGCACATGTTCTGCTGGTTGATATGAAACAGCGACACCGTTGACAAGGCAGGCTACATGGTTATCTTGTTAGCTAGGTAGCATGCATGTCGTAAAACTTTTCATCAAGTGTTTTTAAGTTACTGAATTCCTTTTTGGTTCCTGCATGTTTTGTCATACACATATGGACCCAAATGCATCTACATCATTACACGGCAGTTCGTTGTTTGCCGATGCATCCCTACTTCCTTCGTGTTTGCCTGTATCCATGCACGTACGTTAATATATACGGTTATACGGACTTGCAAATGTGATGGAAGCAGGTGCAGCTGGGCAGCACAGTACGCATGACGTTTCGATACGTGTACGTGTACATGGATGGGCTGCTTGGCAACCCGAACCGGTTGCCAGGTAGGGTCTTGTGAATGGGGTCATCTCAGATGCCTGCTGCTGAGTCATGTGGTATTTGTAGTGCCATGCGTGTGGCGACATGACCACCATCAAGTCAAGTAGATCAGCACCCCACCCATGTCGTTAGCATGTCAGCTGGGTCGGCTACCCGCCAGCAGAGTGTCCAAGTCAAGACATGGACTGGATAATCACCACCGACATCAGATGGGGGTTGACTTCAACACTCCTTTCAGACAGTTTTCGACAGTATCTTCAACCAGTTTGGCCGTATCCTACCGCTGCAAGCCTGTGGGGCACCACACGGGCATTCCGCCAGCAAACATTTTCACCAGTAATCTAGCCTGGTTTGGGTTTCACGTCTTGCAGAGGTGTTACCGATGCCTGCCCAAAGCAGTGTTTGACACACAGTTGGGGCAATCACGAATTGCTTCCTGTATGTGCTTTTGTACCAATAGGCCACCGAAAGGGCTTCTTGAGATGCTGGCCATGTGCTTTAGCGAACATTTATTTTTTATGGTGTATTGTACTGTACTAAAGCTACAGCATCTTCCCTCGCTGGACAACAACCTGCACCTTTCCACTTTCTCGCGTCACACTTGCGTCCACTTCTACAACTACAATCCTGCTATTGTGCTTTATGACTTAGCCTTTATCAAGTGGAGCGCCCTCTTGACACATACCGGTTCTGCAAAAGCCGTACATGCCCACCTCCCACCAACCTAATGTCAGTGTCTCGGTGGTCATGACGATGCTCATCACGTACATCACGATCCAAGGGTGCATGGACAGCTGGTTCACGGCAAACAGTTATATCTTGTGTGTGTTACATGGTCGTGGGGTGCGTTCCCCGTACCTGCAAACCGCCCTAATACGAGCCGAGGGCTCAAGGGCTGCCAGATCCCCTATAAGCACCATCCTACCTCGCACTTTAAACAAAGCAAGTGTTAAATGATACTAGCGACCAAAGGAAATGACTGAGTTGCCATGGGACCATATACGTTCCAGCATCCTTGCCAGGCGTTCAGGTTCCCACTTCATAGCGTCCGTCATATGCTCGAAGCGTGGGAAGTCCATACCAGATCTGATTTTGTCGTACACCGGGCAGTCCCGCAAAATGTGCATATCATCATCGATATGGCTATCAATGCAGTTATTTGACACGGGCAGCAGGCAGCACCCACATATCCCCAAACATGATTGGTGTTGCAAATGCAATGTGCTAGGGGGGCACCAGCTAGGGGGCCACAATCCTGGATGTAGCCAGCATTGGTCGCAACACTGCTGCCATGGACTGCTACTTAGATCGGCTTCTGTGGATCATTGACGACTCACCAGCTCTGCATACAGCACCTCACCGCCTCTGGGCTCTTCCAGCAGCCCCTGCACACCCTTGTTTGTCACAGAGTGTGGGTCGGTGGCCGAGTCCTCTGAAGCAGCCATCAAGCAGGCTTCAGAATGGACTGGGGTGTCTCCAGGGTGCACTCGCCCATCCCTTCCTGGCACATCAGCACATTGAGGGCATCATGGTTGACATTGTTGTATCTCCATTGCATCTGGACATATCTCCCGCGTACAAGACTGCAGTTTCGAGCTATTGGATTTTCTTATGCTGTTTTTTTAAGATATTATCCATTTCGGGCGGCGCTAGGCGTCTGGCCCTTGGGGCCCCGGTTAGTGTGGGTCCCGTTACACCTCTGGAGAGTAGGGCAACTACTCAAGGTGTGACACATATTTTATGGACACTGAAGCCGTGATTATTTTCCAGATTTTTTGCCAATTTATTGATATATGTCATTAGTTTTTAGGGAAGGAGTTCCTTAGGTAATAGCTTTTCTTTCCCGGCCTCCTCCCTACCTCCTCCCTACATCTGTTTCGACAGGCCCCACCTGCCATCTACCCGCGTGCCCCTGCCTGCTAGCCTTGCCCCCGCCCCTAACCCCAGACCTGTATACGTACCCGCATTATCATGCATAATTTTGCTGCATGAACTTCTTTTTAGATTACAATCTAGTTTGACCAATGATTTCCAAGAAGCGTTCATGGTCGGTAGTTCCGACCAGCCGGTCACGAATGTCGCTGCAACAGTGCCGGTTATCCTGACCTGCTTTGGCATCATTTTCCCTATCTATCCTTATCCAATCCACATATCCAGCAATCCAAACCCAACTATGTTGGACTCCTTTCTTCGTTAAGTTGCTTGTGTGCCATCTTTATTACTGTCACAGTGTGTATATGCCAACCCGTCTCCGTTTTCTATTCGTGGCCTAGTTCCTTAACACTCACCCCACCCACAACCCCACGTGTTGCCGCATGTAGGCTCCGACATTTTTGTCCCCACGGATCCGGGCGGACCCCCCGGGGAGGTGTGGCTGTCCACTGCCGCGGTGTACACACGTGAGGCCGGAGGGAGGAGGGGGGGAAAATGTGGGTGTGTGGCCGGGGGGGTATGTTCGGGCGAGATTGGGATGGGTGAGTTCAGAGACTTAAGGTTGTGTGAAGAGTCCTTGTTTATCTCGCAACAGGTCCTGCTGTCCTGCTGATATCGTAGCTGAGCAGTAGCCAGGTCATCCACAGTGGGCAGCAGGAGGATTCGTGGGCATGTACGTACCTGTGGTGTAACTTACTTACTTGGCGGGCATCATGCAAACCCTGGACCTCCTAACCCTTAGCCCCCTTCCTCTCTCCAGCCATGCATGAAATGAAACTCCTCGCCCCCTGCCCATCTGACCATAGAATATGTATGTGTACTTGTACTCTTACGCTCTCTTTTGTCTGACGCATCCCTTACACCGTCCATACTCATTTGCAATCTGCTAATCTTTTTGTACACGTACGACCGGCATCCTTCATTCGTCCCATCCCGTGGTCAACCATCGTATTCATGCACAAACGTACATACGCGTATGTATTTTGCTTCCTTTCAACACCCAATGTCTACAGCGTACTGTTTTCCGGGTGCCTTCCACGTGCTCGACGTTTCATTGATGCCCCGACCTGCACAATACCCGGGAAACCAGACAACGCTGGTAGATCTCCCACAGGTGAGTGTGGACGCTGCCAGCTGCTGCGCATCCGCATAGCAGCACATCTATAGCTAGTCGGGCGGCATGTTGCTCCATAGTGCAGGTTCCTACCCGGGTGTGCATGCAGCTGAATGGCCAGTGACCAGCTAGACATTAGCTGGGTTAGTTGTTGAATGTACTACGCCTAGGTAGAGGTATGAGACAGGTAGGCGGGAGTATACAAGTTTTTCAGTGCGGTACATGTTTAGGCACCCTAGAGTATGACGTACAGCTAACGGTAGGTTGGAAGTTCCTTGTAAATGTAGTAATGTTTCCATATCCCTTGGAAGCGTTAGGGAAGCTACTAGTAGCCGTAGCACGGATGTTCCGGTTGAGGAGGCTCAGGGCAAAGGATTTAGCGGCTTACGAGTGGCGAGAGGGTTCACCGGCGAGCAAGGGTGATAACAAGGAGGAGATAGTTAGGATTCACAGGATGGTGACGGCGGAGGGAACCTGAGACATGAACAGTATTGGATCATCTCAGGGACCGACTTTAGATTCGGTACACTTGCTGCTGTGATATAAAGCTTCACACACCCGGGAACTGTGCTCGCTGGCGCGGCTTAAACTAGCTTCCTACCTGCCTGCCGGCCTACTACACTACCTGCCTAAGCCACGCCCTATATGCCTGGCCTGCGCTTCAGGACGGCTGTGTGGATTCACATGCTGCGCCGCCACGTCAGCGGTGCTGGGCGGATAAGGTCTTTTCAAGCGACTGGGCTTTTGAAGGCACCGAACTCGACGCCACCAGCGGCGCGCTACGCACCACCAACCTGCTCTTCAGATTCCTCAACACGACCGCCGTATGTGAAGTGCACGTCGACATGGAATGCCTGCTGAAGAGGGACCCCCTCGACCTGCTACGCAGAAACCGTCAACTGGGCCAGGGGCAGTGGCGGTAACAGCACCAGCAGCCTTTCCACCTTGCAGCCGGTGCCTAACAACCGCAGCGCCAGCAGCCGCACGGCGGTTGTGGTGGGAGCGACTGTGGGTAAGTGGGCCGATTACCGGACTAGCCATTTCCCAAGGAATGAGAATTTGCGATTGCAAGGTCGCAGGATTGCATCCGGTTCGGGGCATAGATGTTTTGGGGAGTGCAGCTGGTATGTATAGACCAGCTCGTCTGATCAGGTCCGAGTCCGCTCCCGACTGGTTAGTGGGGTCCATTGCGCAACCCGAAATACGCGCCTGAGGATATCCTCAACTCCACATCAGCAACTCAGCAGCTGGCCATAATCTCACGCTCCCGACAATGTCGGGGGTCTTCCCAGGACCTTAAACCGCATATGGCAGTATTTCCACCAGACCAGGCCGCGGGTATCTGCGCGGGTGTCTTGAGGGTGGGTTGGATTGGTCTCCAAGCATATGCAGCGGATGGTTTCGGGAGAGGGGAAAGGGGCCGCAAGCGTATACCTGCGTGAATAAAGTACTGGTGGTCAATGTCGTCGACTGCCAACCCTTTCAGCGTCGGGCGCCCTAATACATGCTGGTGTTCATGATCGTGCATGATGAGCAAGCCTTCTGTTAAATGGGTTTGATGACCCACATGCGTATGTGTGCGGGAGCTGCCGCGAATACGTAGATTGGGGATGGGGAGAGGACGGTGCAGAACGGGAAGAGCTGCTCCAGGGGAAGAGGAGGGACTTAAAAGGCTGGTCGGAGGAGAGGATGCGAGGAGAGGAGCGGGAGCTACGTATTTTGTTGGTTGGGCTGGGCTGGGTTCTGCTTGCTGGTGGGGTATATGGCTCTTGGTAGGTTATAGTTACGGTAGGCCGTTAACATTAAATCACCTAAATTGTGAGTGCTGGTATAGGCCAGCAAGGCATTACTGCGAATGTACAAACGAGAGGCGAAGTGCGGGGGGTCCACTCCTAGGGAGCGCAATATACCATAATTATACCCATACATCGGTATACCTTCTTGATCATCAGCTGTACTACTATTCGCTCTGCACTGCAGGGGGGTCTGCGGCATGTGCCCTGCTGTTGGGGTTTGCTGCAGCGGTGTTTCTGCGGCGGAAGGGTAGGACTCCGACCGCCCGCCCTGCTGCAACCACTGCGGATGCCACTGCGGCTGCTGGCGGGGATGATGATAGGAGTTTGGGTGCTCCTGCTGGGACTCCTTTGCTGGAGTTGGAGCTGGAGAGGTGCAGGGCACAGCCGGGTGGCCGAAGGTGCGTGATGACGCAGTGAGATGCGCATTCGGGCGGGTGGTCAACTACTGCGGCTGCTAGCCGCTGACATTCTTTGTAATTAGTTGTCGTTATTAACAACGATGGCGGTGGTGCGTGGTACTATATAGTCCATGGCCTCCCGGCTTTGACGGACACCCCCGCACTAGTGCGGAACCTTGTAACCTGGTACTGGGGTGATCCATCGGTGTCAGCGAAGGTCGTCAGGAACGTACTGCACTAGGAGTTGCTTGTGTTGGCAATTTATTGGTTTTTTCACCTGAGACGATAAATTACTGGATGACAAAAAGTGTTGGGATGCATGTGTGCAAGTATGTGTGTTGTGTTGTTTGCATCACGTACGACTACACCACCTTCACATGCAGGCCCGAGACTACACGCACTCTGGCCGACCTGTCAGCGTACAACGCCGCCGACAACCTGCCACTAGATGGTGCATCTACACTTCCAGGCAAACGACAGCCGCCAACAGGTACTCGCTTGTTCGTTGTTGATTGTTCATCAGGCTATCATTTGTCGCGCATTGCAGCTGACCGCCGTCGACAGCAGCTGACCGTTGATTACCAGCATAGGATTTTACCAAGTCAACTGCCAATGGTAGGTAGCTATTTTACCCGTAGTCATTCTTCCTATGTAACTCCGCTTTAGCACTGTGCACACGCATGCGCACTTAGCTGATGTGGCGAACGTGTGGTGGGGGCCATGTTATTATCGAAGTGCATTGAGGCCGTTGCCAACCGCCAACCCTTAATGTCAACCGGTAACCGTCGTTCATGAGCATCGCCATGTTGATTTCCGCTGTCAACTTGAACGCTGCCGTACAGAAGTGTACGAGACCAAGGCCATGATCTTCACGGGGGTGGTACCGCCGGTAACTACCAAGACACCCCGCAGGCCCGACATCCCCCTCCATGTAGCTCTGGTGCCGCTTCCACAACTGCCGCCAGGAGCGGCTGCAGCTGTGGGGCTTGGTGGCGGCGGGTACTGCTTGCCACAGCAGCCTGGGCTTGGTGCTGCTGCGCCCGCTGCTGCTGCTGCTGCTGCTGCTGCTGCTGCTTGCCTTCAAGCCATCAAAGAGGAGCCTTCCACGACGGCGTCAGGAGTTGCTCCGCCGGAAGGAGCAGATGGAGGGGTTTGCAACGCAGACAGCAGCCTGCAGCTACAGCAGGCGACACCAGAGTCGCCGTCGGTGGGACCTGGTGTTATGAATGCGGCAGTAGTGCTGCCGGAGGGCTTCGGAGGCGACAGCAGCAGCAGGAGTGATCTGATGACCGGTAGCAATACAAGCAGTGGGGAGGGCTGCGGCGTGGTTTGCTTGATGCCGGTGTTTCGCGGCAAGGGCACCTACGGGCGGGTGGTCGAGGGACTGTATGCGGGGCGGCGCGTTGCGGTGAAGTTAATGGCCAATGAGGAGTTGCTTGGCGTGGAGGGGGCTCCCCCCGGAACCTTCATCAAGACATTTGCGCAGGAGGTTGAGGTGAGCCATCGGGTTGGATGGGTTGCACGTGACGAGTCTGGCCGAGGTATGTAGGTATATGCAGATATTATTACTACAGGTTAGGCACTACTGGTAAGGCACGGACCATTGCCCCCGGGAGATCCTGGGATCGAGACCTGTCAGGGTCGAAAATCCTTCCGATGGTGGAAGGTAAAGTGCCCCTTGTCGATAGACGGTGGTGACCTGGGATTAAGTTAACTTGTAAGCCGACCAGGAATGGAGTTGGGCCGCTGTCGACCCGGCAGATTCCGTTGGATGCTGGTGGTGGGTGCGGAACCTGAGCGATCCCCTGAGGAGTTGACTAGGGTGACTGGATGAGGGTTCGCCCCGAAATACCGGGGAAGGCAGGGTTTCGCCGGATAGCGGCCACGGGTGAAGATATTGGCCCCTGTCCCACACATCATACATGTATGTAGTAAGCATGAGTATGTAGGTGAAATTTGGGCGGCCTATGTAATGAGGTACTCCAGGTGTGCTTCAGGGAGCTGGGACTAGGGCGTCGCTCGATGTGGCGTGAGAACATTTACTGTTAAATTTGTGGCTGCGCAGCTGCCGAGTGGGGCGTTGTTTACACTACTCGCGGCGATGGCTGTGGCTGAAACATTCATGAGCACATCGATCGGCCGCATGGGATATACCGGTAGCATGAATACCGGTAGTATGCTTCTCCTTACAGAAGAAGTCTGCAGCTGCAGCTGCTCACTTTATACGGTACGGCATGAAATGACATGTCAATCCTAGCATGTTGCTCAAGTCCAACGCTTGCTGCCCTTCCGGCAACTAACACTTGAAACAACATTCCTGCCCAGGCTGCAGGCGCCGGCTACATGCCACACTTTGGCACACATGTTCAACCCATAATCACTACAACCACTACCAACCACTTCATGCCAACAACCTGCTTTCAACCACTCACCAGGTTTTGAGCCGTTGCCAGCACCCCAACATCATCCAGTTGTTGGCGGCGTGTGTAAGCCCGCCCCGGTTGTGTCTGGTGATGGAGCTCATGGAGACGTCCCTGGACAAATTGTTGTATCACAGCCCGGGCCAACAGCCGATGCCGCTGCCGAAGGTGGGATCCAGCGAGGCTAGCGAGCTACGGTATAGTTGGCATGTTGCCTACCTGAACGATCAGCAAGTAGGGCTGTGGAATGCATTTAGGCGCCTGCTGCCTGTCATGCACTCGTTTCCTCCTGCTTCTATCTGTTGCCGTCTCCTCCCTGTTCATCAGGTGCTCCACATTGGGATCTGTATCGCTAATGCACTGGCCTACCTGCACCCCACCATCACCCACCGGGACCTGAAGGTGTGGACAATAGTGTGTGTGTGAGAGTGTGAGAGTGAGAGTGTCGGTGATTGCGAACCATGATGATGATGATGATGATGATGCACATGCGTAGATGCATCCTTTGTTTTGCACCTGCTGCGAGCTCCTGCACCGCAAGTAGATGGAGAGGCTCGGCTCACACAGCTTGCATGTGCATGTCGACGGGGCCAACACGCAGCCAAGCAAGCTAGGATACTGGCAGTGATGAATCCATTTGCATACATTGCTTATATCACGATGTTTCATGCATCTAACTGCCGGTATTTACAATTGATTTTCCTAGTTACGACATCAGCCTGAGGTCCTAGCCACCTACAGCTTTACGTCTTGCTAGCCCTTCACCACGGGCTTCATTTCTCCGCCTCCTTTCCTGTACTCGGCCCGCCCGCCCGCAGCCAGCCAACGTGCTGATCGACAACCCTCAACGCGACAGGCCGATTGTCAAGCTGACGGTACGTGTGTAGGGCGCGTGGCTCCCCCTTGCCTGTGTTCATGGACTTGTGCGGATATGCGTGCATATCACTATGGGCCGACTGAGACCTGACACGGCTTCGTTCCTGTGGCCGGGCTTACTTCATTGTTGTCATGACTCCTGCTCGTTCCTGGGGCCACACGCATCCAGCCACACTCAGTTTCCTGCTTCCCCTCCACCTCCCCCCCTCCCCTTCCCACCGCCTGCAACCTCGCCCGCACCCTCGCACGCCTTCAGGACTTCGGTTTGGCCCGATTGCGGATGACAGTGAAGTCGACGGAGCACCCTGACGCCGGCACGGTGGGTTATTAGGCAAGCGGGGAGCACGGGAGTCGGGAGATGTGGCTAGGCAATTACCGGTAATAGATGCAGGTAAGCCCCCGACTATGCAACTGGCTGGGAGCTGAGACCTGCCAGCCTGTGTTATGTGTTAATGATTGTTCGGTGATTTATTCAACGATCGGGACTTGGGTCTGTCCCGGCAGGAAGGCCGGGTTCCCCCACAGTCCAGTCCGGCCCGGTCAGTCACGGTCTGCATGTCTCGCTTGGCGGAGCTATGTTTGTATGCTGGGCGCGTGTGTGCAAGTATGGATGGATTTATCCATTTCGGGCCAGCAAATTTAAGTCTTAGATGGCCGATTAGATGGCCTAGATGATGAATTCTGTGGACGGCTTAGGAACGGATCACCTGCTGGGCGCCGTTAAGGATATTAATTTCGTAGCCAATATTTACGATCGTAAAGGCTGTCAATTATTCATATTTTGCTTGCCCATTTCAACTTTAAGACAATTAAATCGAAGAAGCAACGATTGCTGTCGTCCGTCCACAAACCCCCCACTGTGTACATATGCATGTGGTGACGTATGTTCGTACATGCCGCCGCTGCCACCGTGATGGAACGATTTAATCGTCACCTCCACCACTGACCATCATTACCACTGCTGACACCACCACCACCACCACCATCACTGCCGCACGATGTTTTTTTATGCTGCCGCGATGGCTGCTTGTGGCGGCTGCCTACGACTACGACCGTCTGCTGCTTTACTGTGACTACCGCTATCTCTGTTGCTGCCTCTGCACTATCGAACTACCTACCTATCCGTCTACACTTCGATCCTATCCATTCACCACTCCCTGCCACAACGAAGCCGCCCTACATGGCACCGGTACGCACGGCAATATGTGTTATTATGTATTTGTCCGTGGCAAACTGGCTATATATCGTCTGCCGATACACAAAATGTGAATGTCAGCAAGTCTGTTTCTCCCCGTTTGCTCTGATTTGGCCATTTCAACTAGCACCTGTCTAACTGTTTGGGCGGCTAGGTGGTTAGGAATGCACCATACGATGCTGAAGAGGATGCGCGCACAGGTAGCCAGCCTAATATACGCGATGATTTATGCCATACACTGCCACTCCGCCATCCAGCCGACTCATACTAACAGCCACTCCACACCCTAAACCCCTCATGCCCCGCTACAACATGCAACACAACACCGTCAACGCAGGAGTGCTTCGATGCAATGAATCGGCACATCACACACCAGGCGGTGAGTTTTCGATCGCTCGCACGCCGTACTCGCTAGCGATCGTATGTCGTACACGTCAGATTGTATGACCCGCTCCTCCCCCCATTCCTCTCGAACATTGTGCTTTCATTTACCTGAATAGTACGGAAGCACGAACCACCCCAACTAACCACCCAAGCAAAGTTACCATGCAAGTCTGACTGCCGGCGCAGGATATGTACTCTTTAGGGGTGTTGCTTTGGGAGATGCTGACGGCTACACGGCCCTGGCAGGATGTGGGTCCCGTTTCAATTGCCTTCCTGGTACGTTTGTACAGCAACATGTCTTGCAGCTGTTCGCCAGCCTGGCAGCTGTTCGCATGTATCGCAGTATGGCTCCCTCCGGCCTGACTGTGCATCCCCTATCGGGCCCGCCTCCATGTTCGCCTGTGCGTCACCTCTGCACCCGTTTGTGCGTTGCTAGCGTTCGCACCCGTGCGTGCATGCGTGTGTGTGTACACATGCAGGTGACGTATAAGGGCACACGGCTGCCGCTGGAGTCGTTGATTAGCAACCACTGTCCCCCAAAGCTTGTCCGTCTGCTGGAGGACTGCTGGGACGCAGACCCTGCTCGTAGGCCAGCGGCAGCGGAGGCAGCCAAGGTGCTGATGCTGGTGATGCAGGTCAGTGGTGGTGCGGGGCGGCGGTCAGCTCCATGGTTCGGTGAGAGGGAAGGCTGGATGGGGGGAGGTGGTTGGGGACGAGGAGGGCTTTGGTTACTGCGCGGATGGTGGTAGGCCACCCCAACACTTGCACATTATTTGCTAACTCACACACACGTACCCGGCGTATTGGCGTACATCATGCATGGGGTGCGTGTATGTCGTACAACTGTTAATAGTGCCGAAGTTAATGCACCAAGTATGTATGAGTATGAGAGGCAGAAGCATACGCATATTGTATGTATGTACGTATGCATGTATTATCCAGAATGACGGGTGAGGCTGTGAGTAGTCAGTATGCTCCTCAGGCGTCAGATCAACGAGACGGGCATGTCTTTCTGTCTGCGCCTCCTCCCACGCTGTTAGTGAAACATTGATAGAAGTGAATACTGTACATGGGCGGGCGCGGCACCCACATGCACAAAATACACGTTCGCGAACTCAATTCACACGTTTGCAGTTGCATGTGTAGTCTTGTAATTAACACATTTGTTGTGCGCTGTGTGCTGCTGAACGCCGGAGCTGTTTCTATTACCATAGAAATGCAATTGTTTATTATTGATGATTGGTTATTGTTACAGGGTGGGATGGTTCTGGGCCATTTGAGCACATTGCCACTTCTACGATTTATCACACCATACAGTACCATCCACCATTACTACACTGTACTACGCCATACGCCATGGAAGTCCAAGGCGGTTGATCCTGCCTTCTAGGATCCCTCCTCATCCATTCACCCGAACATCCGCAGAGACAGAGGGTTCAGCAATCGTCACCAATCCAGCGTGCGAACCTCGATCCATCAACTGTGATCTCAACTCCACATCTCAGCAGCTAGCCATAATCTCACGCTCCCGACAATGTCGGGGGTCTACCCAGGAATCGAATCCAGGACCTAAACTGTATAAGACAGTAGTGTCAACCAGACCAGACCAGATTGTTTATGTTATTAACACCAAGCACCTTCTGTTGACGCGGCGACAAAACGACATCTTGTGTGTCATGCAACAATGACCTACATATTAAGCGCATTTACTTGCCTTGCTTTGGGTGTTTGTCCTATACTTTTAGGGCCAGCAGCTGCAGCAGGATTCCCGACCAAATAACATTCCAATGCACTCATTCCATACCTTCTTCGCGTATTCAACTGCATGTATATGTTTGTATGGCGCGGCCCCTACTATGGTGGCGGTAGGAGAGCTTGGAGAGGGACCAGCAGCAGGGCGACGGCGGCGGTGGTGAAAGCTCCCAGCAGCAGCAGCAGCAGCAGTAGGGGTAGGTGCGCATGTGATGGAGTGCAATTGTCCAAGCATAGGCAAGGCAGGATCCTCCATCCTGCTTGTTTGGATAGGCAAACCAGCAAGAGGACATATGGATAGGTGGTAGTGTCAGCTTACTGCAGCTGCAGCAGCACCAGCGGCCGTCACAGGGATCGAGGCAGCGGCCGCCTCCACAGCAACAATGAAGCAGGTGATGAGCAGTACAAGATGATGAACATGGGGGGATAGCCAGCGGCTCATATTCAAAAGACGGAAGTCTCTGGTTGTGTCGGCTCGTGACAGCACGCCTAGCTATTTTGGTGAGTTGTTGTATGTTGTTACATGGTGGTTAAGCTTCACCAGCGCGCCGGCCCCCTTTCCCGAGGCAGTTCCCTGCTCTCCCAATTGTTGTTGTTGTTGGTGGTGAGCTTCCTAGTTGGTGATTTAAACCCATGCATTTCCAGATCTGAAAGTATCTAAATACTCTCCGTATGCATACGTTTATACGTGATACATATCTCATTACAAATGGTGTACCTTCTTTTGCCACATGCGAGCTATATCTTAATGAATTATGATGGGCGCGGGGTTATGTAGCATGACGCATTACCTTCTCCATGCATCTCCCCCCAATGCATACGTTGTGCTGAGAAGCATCCGGTGGCTTAGTCGCTAATTTTAACCTTTGTTTAAAGTTGGCGCCCATTCGCTTTAATCTGAGAGTCGTCGAACGAGGGGCAAGCACAGGAATAATTTTTTTCATAACCATCCGTTGAGGATGTACACTTAAATTCGTTATGCAATCATGCAAGCTTTCTGCATGGGGGGAGAGGATATTTTTTCTTTCGGTTCAATAACGCGGTTGGCATGGTGCTGGAGCATGTGTCCAAGAATTACCAAAGTGACATCCATAGCGGGTTTCCTTGCCTAGCATTTAGATAGCTGCCCAGTCGTCTGGATACTATGTCACTGATGGTCACGGAACTGGGAATGTGTTTCCATCCTTAGGTCCCCCGGTAGGGCTGATGGCCGCAGTACCACAAGGGGACAGCAGTACACGGGACAGGAGTGGTACATTAGATATCACACCCTGTGTAGGAGATGTTTCTTGAAATAAAGTACATGTGTGCACCAAAGTTGTCGTGTGTGATTGTATTTGTGTGTGTGTGCGTGTGTCAGCGGATTGGTTGCTTGTTCCGTATGCAGTGGATAGATGGCATAATAATTGTCAATTCAAGGACAGATGTCCGCAATGAGTCATCGATATAGGTTATCTGGGTGAGCGACTTTCTGCATGCATATGTGGTAGGCAGGCGGCTGGCAGAGGTGAAGGCCTGCCTTCTGCTCCCGGAGTGTCCGGGTTCAAATCCGTCTGCCGACTGTTCGGGTGTTTGAGAAGTGATGAAATGGGAGGTGGTCCCCCATCTTATGGATGGTGAGGACGCGTTAATATCAACTTGCGTGCTGACCAGGAACTAAGTTAAGGCGCCTGATCCAATAGATTTGGTTGGATGGTGGTGGTGAGTTGCTGAACCCAACGAATATATAGGTTAGGGTGCCCCTCTCGCAGGGGAGAGCAGAGAACTGAAGGGCTAGCCCTTCAGTTCTATAGCGCTATACCACCCTTTAACAACATACATATGTATGTTGAAGTGAAGATCGGGGGCGCTGGCAAAAACTATAAGCTCGTCATGTGAGGCGCGGTATTCTGGGGGCGAGTGGAAGAGCATGGACCTCGCCTGGCAACTGCTCTGACCACCTGCCACAGAGTAGGGCAGGGTTCCTATGTATCCTGCTGCATGGAAAGCATTTGTTGACACACCCCTAACCGCAGGCACCCTCTTTTTCAACTTTTTCACATCATAGCAAGTGATCTTCGTCACCCAAGAGATAAGGTTTGCAATAGACAAACAGTTGGGCGAGATTTATGTTTGGTCATTAGCATGGATAGATAAACTGACAGCAACAAATGCTGGTGTAAACAAGTGACTCCCTGTAGTACTGGTACACATATCAACTGCAAACATGCGCCACGCGCTCGACCTGCATCTCGAGAGGCCTTTTCAGTGGCCAGCTACTACACTCACACAGCTTTCTGGAGCGATTGCCAGTGCAGCAATAGGAAAGTTGCCCTGGAGCTAGAGCTCCTCAGAAACTGCAAGTGCAGCACAAGCAGCTGCTAACAGTGATTGCCAACACAGTTCAGGGAACTGTGCAAAACTATCACCAACATAGCTGAGATACCATAATAAAACGCCATTAATCACGCCAAAATTGTAGTAGCCGTCCTTTACCTTAGGTGTTTCAGCGGAAGTGTTAGGTCGCGAGGCCAAGGGAGGGGAGGGTCTCGACCACGAAGGGCGGCTTAACGTTAGAAGAGAAGCGATACGGAAAGACAGTCAAACCCCTAAACCCTAAAACCCTAGTATAGTGATACGAAAGTGTCTGGCCGAAGCATCTCACCAGGGTGGCTTATGCTTCCCACCTGCCGCCATCTCCGTTCCTGGAGCCTTGCTGTAGTGTAAATGTCGTACACTGCATTGTATAGCGTAATAGAAAGTGAGTTCGTACAGTTAATTTCAGGACCGTACCGTTACTGTGGTAAAGCTTTAATTGCTTAAATACATTCTAATGTAAATGTAGCTTGCTACAGTCATATATTCTGTCCCGCCACAGTTCAATTGTTTTTAACATCAACATTCCAAGTGGAAGCACTTCAACGACACCATTCAACTTTTCCAAACTCCCAACCTTCAGTCCACTCAATGCTGCAGCTGTCCTGCTTCATCCTCACTAGCATCTCATCAGTCCCTTGCCCAATCTCAAACCTGTTCCTGTCCTCCTGTAATTATGTTTCATTTCCTCATAATATTCATCCATGCACCACATACAGGACGCGACCATTGCCCCCGGGAGATCCCGGGATCGATACCCGTTAGGGTCAAAGTCCTTCCGATGTTGGAAGGCATTGCGCCCCTAGTTGATGGACGTTGGTGACCTGGGATAAAGCTAACCTGCGAGCCGACCAGGAATGGAGTTGGGCCGCTGTCGACCCGGCAGATTCCGTTGGATGCTGGTGGTGGGTGCGGAACCTGAGCGTTCCACTGAGAAGTTGACTAGGGTGACTAGATGAGGGTGCCCCGAAATACCGGGGAAGGCTGGGTTTCGCAGGGTAGCTGCCACGGGCGAAGATACACCCCCCTGTTTCACACATCATACAGGAAGGTGCATTTGTGGTTTGCCACAGCAGTATTTCAGTGGACCTGCCTGGCTACATTACACTGTGCCTAATGGACATGTGTACTCGTACATCCATGGGCCCCCAGCCTCTTCAGCCTTCTGGACACCCCCACATGTGTGTGTGGAGCTTGTAACTTGAAATATATCTTCTGTGCATATGCACACATATATACGTACAGTCCTTGCCATCGACTCAAATCATCACTAAACACACATATACTTGCAGATAGTTGCTCAACCAGGACACTTACATCGACAGCCTATTGTTATAATCTGCCTTGAATTATGCTATCCATCCACTACATACATAACATGCAGTGATGAAGACACTTCCAACCGCCGACATATGACACACACACACATACAGCTTTGGTGCATACTGCCACCCATACTACATCATACTGCTGCTGCATACTTTGCTTGTGGTAGTTGCTATTGAGCATTGCTGCCTCATCAATGCACCAAAACCTGCTCGCTTCAATAACTAAAAGGGCCAGCCATCAGCCCGACCAGAACATAGGGTAGCTGAGGATGGAAACACATTTCCAGTTCCGTGGCCAACAGCAAGTGACGGTGTGCAGACGACTGAGCAACTATCTTAACGCTAGGCACGGGAACCCGCTATGAAAGTCCGCTGGTCATACTCCAATAAATGCGCATAAGCTCAGACCACTCATCGAACACTTTGGGAATGCCCAGTCCCAGGCGTAGCACAGCTCGAAGACGCGGCTATAGCCCTTCAAATACAGCTTGACTGCAGATCTCGACTTGGTCCAACTAATACTTGACACTATCCAAACCCAAATCTAGTGCTATCTAGTACTATTTCTACTATATTATTTTACTATGTACGAACGCGGTACGAGCGTCGTAAACTAGTGCCAGTTTAGAGCCCTGCATAGTATGTAGTACTATTTCTAGTACTATTCTAGTAGAGTACTCTTTTCTAGTATAGTACCCGTGCCAACCCTACTCGTATACCACCAGCCTGTGCCTACCTTCACCTACCCTCGGCCAGTGGGTGAGCAGTCTACGTGACAGCATGCCGCCCACACATGCGCCTAGCCGTCTTGAGTATTTTCAGTCACAGAGTCTTCCCATATAACCTCAGCTACATTCCGTCACGAGGATTACCCAGTAATCAGGGTTGAACTGACGACTTCAGGATCGTTAACATGTAAAGAGGTTTCCATACCTGTTGCAGTAGCTGGCCACTGGAAAGGCCTCTCAAAACGTGGTCAAGTGCTTCACGCGTATTTGTAGTTAATGTGTGCCGTATTGTGTACCAGCTAGTTAACATACATACATTAATGATGTGTGCCGTAGACGCCTGTAACTT